TTATCTTAACAATAGCACGGGCGTGCCAAGAGGTTAACGCGGTGCTTTGTTAGAGTTTCCGTTTCCTAATCATCCAAACCTTGTTAACCTGGCTGATGCAGGTGAACCCCGGGGCTGGCGGGGGGCTGCTGCGTGTCTGGGGAAAAGCGTAGGACTTCATTTCAACGTCTTTGTCCTCCTCGTAGACTCCCCGGCTGAATTCTTTGATGTTTCTTCTTCCCTGGTGCGCTAAAAGTCTATAGAAAGATCTTCACAGCTGACTTCAGTTCCTTATCTGATGTTTGCCTTTCCTCCTTCTCCTCTGAGGCTTTGGATATGTTTTGTGACTTTTGTTCTGTGGGGGACTTCGCTTCTGCTGATGGGTTTCATTTGTTGTTTGGTTTTTTTCTTTAGTTGCTCCATTTCCAGTTGAACTTTGTTGAGAAGAGAACGTTGGGGTTATAGTGCCTTGGCGCTGCTGTGTATTTCTGTGATGCATTTTGGGCTTAAAAATTGAGCTTTTTTTTTTTCTTTCACTCGAATAATTTTTTTTTTATTGTTGTTTTTGCAGATGACACCACTGGTAAGCAAGAAGATGGACCAATTTCTGGGTGAGTCCAGAGACTGTTTATTCATTATAACAACATATGCTGCAAAGAAGATCAAGCCAGGTTAAGCGTAGCTTCATGAATGCTTTGGACCAATGCTGCTGCCAGCAACGGCAGCCCGTCCTTTTCCCATCCCATGGGGTCATCCCCAGCCACCACCCTTGGGCTGGCACAGCATTTATGGATTTGGAAGATGAACTGGATCAGTCAACTGATTTGACTTAAAACTAAATTTTAAGCCTTTCCCCCCCACCCCACTCCCTTCCTGATTAGTTTTAAATCAGATCTATTTTCCCATTTAATTCCCTGGGAAAAATGGTGCCTTGAGGATTGGCCTTTGTGCCAGCCTGGCATTGGTAAAACTGCGTCCTGGAAATGCTAAAAACCTCAAGCCTAGGTTAAAATCGTGACGTGATCGAATCAACAAATTATGAGATCCATGAAATACGTAGTTTGGGTTTGACTTTCAGATAAAAGTGCTGGGGCCAACCCAACGATCAGTTTTGCTGTCCGTGTCCGGGAAGTGTTGTCTGTCCTTGACCATAACTCCCCTGTAGTTGTAGCAGCGCGGTTTGCGCCAGCGGAGTTTTCTCTCGGCAGACCCATCATCTGTTTGCCATTTTTGAATGTAACACGGTTTTCAGAAGACTCGATCTTCGCTGGATTTCTGTGCGCTCAGCACCTTCAAAAGTTCAGTTTAATATTTATTGTCCTTTAAGGTCGTTGCGATCCGGAATTTCTGAGATTGTTACGAATACTGTCCTACTTCCGTAGTAAGTATCCTGTGCTTAGGGAACATGAAAACTTGTTCAAAAACAAGTTTTAGGCAGACTTGGTGAATTGTTACCTAAAAACATTACATGAGCTTTGTGCGAAGGAACAATTTTTAGTTTAGATAGAAATTTACTGCTCACCTGCACAGATCTACTGTTCCTTCTCGCTTTCTTCTGAATGTAATTTTACTTTATAAGCAGGATTAAAAATCTGAATTTCCAGCAACTGTCTCCAGTAACCGCAAGACATGTGAAGGAAAAGTCCCAGTGGTCACGCCAGCTCTCCTTTTTGGGTTTTTTTCCTTCCCTCTTTTTGGTTTTTTCCTTTTCTTTGTTGCACAATGAGACTCTTCCTAAATGAAGAGCTGTGGGGTGTTTTAAGAAAAATGACTCTTTGTTTGCGATGTTGTCGACGGCTGCCGCTCCAGGGCTACGTTGCTGGTTTGCTAGAGAGTTTGTGCCTACCCACAAAGCAGAAATCAGTGTCAGTGTCGTGCAGGATGCGGCGGCCGTTAGCATTCCTTAGCCTAAAGGATGCGTTAAATACCAGCAGCCTGTGCAGGATGCTGTTACGTCAGTAACGCACGGGTTATGTTGGCATTCGGAGGAAATTAAATAGCTGCGACGTTGTTTTTGCATGCAGATGATGGCTCTGGACCGGTCAGATTGTTCATTCCCGGGAAGCAAACAGGTTAGGGAAAGTCTGTTACTTAGCAAATGTTTATTTGAATTCCGATTTATAAATTTTAATGCACGCCCACAGATACTTCATGTGACTTGAAGCTGAAGGTAATCTTGTCACTCCTCCTTAATTCAGTCATCTCGGATTCTTAAGAAAATTCTGGGGTTGAGGTCAATGGTACGAGTTGCTTGGGTTTGGCAAACAAAACGCAGAGGGTCTTGGAGCCCCTGTGAGATTGTTCTCCAGCTGTACGTCTCTTGGTCCTTAGGTAAAAGCCTACGTCTGCAACTTTGAAATCCTTTTAAGCATCTTGGCTACTTTCTATAATTTAACGTTTCTTCAGCTCTCGCCTCGAGAACTTGGCGGAATTTGTTTGTATAGGGGGCTTTTCTAATAGGAGAGCTTCCGTAACTGCTCAAATTGTTCTTGTTCGTTTGTTCTTTTTTTTTAATGCTCAGTAACTGCTTCCTGGGTTGCGAGAGTGTGATCTTCTGGCTTACTTGTTTGGTGTCCCTTTCCTGCCCCCTCCGAAATGGCTTTAATCTGACCAGTGTTTGGATTCTGTTAGATGTTGCGTATGCTTCCTTTTGAAGATAACCTTGTGTGTGTTTATTATCCAACATGGGGTTTTAAATTAATATAGCAACATCTCCACGAAGTACTGGTGTCCAAAGTAATTGGATTTCCTGGGCTATTCCAGTTGTCTCTTTTGAAAAGCCAGAACTATTTTGAAGTTCTACTAGGTTTTACCTATGACATGGGGGGAAAGTGGTCTCTCTTTGTACCTTAGTTTTGTAACGCTTAGCACGCTCTTTTCCAGCATGTGTATACCAATGTGGCTTTCTTGCCTGGCCAATGCGATAAACAATGCTAACGTTTGTACAAACTCTTTAACCGGAGGTAAATCGGAACCTGACCATTGTTGTATTAGGACTAATTTGTAATGAATGAGAAGATTGGGTGTATAATTATCTGTCATCTTTGAACTGTAACTACTCATTAATGTAAGCTATTTGTAGAAACACTAAAATAATTTTTTCCTTAATTTCTATGGAACAGATGCCCTTGCTGCTTACTAAACTCACGTATAATTATTAGCATCCTTAAATACAAGGTGAAGTTTTGCTCGTTACAGTCTTATTCTGATACAGTTGTGGTTGTGCTGAACCACAGCAGAAAGCTATTAGAGCTGCCACTTGGACCTCAGGTGTCGAGCGGTGCTTGGCTGGGCCGCCGTGCTGTCGGTCAGGCGCTAAGCTGATTCTTTCCAACAACAGCAAAGCCAAGCAAGGAGGATTAATTTTTTTTGTTGTATAGTTGAGCTAACTGCCAGCAGAATAAACACACTACACGAATAAAGCCATTATATGAAAGTCACCTGGACGAATGCTTTAGAAATGTTTGTAGGTGAACTTCTAGACTGGGCTTGCCCACTTTCTTTTATCTGTCGCATTTACTAGACACGCGGAATCTTCTCATCCCTTGCAAGATGCTCCTCAGGAGAACCGGCCCGTCAGCAATGAAGACCGAGAGATGTCGCAACACGTACGTGTTCCGCTCAAATGGTTATTTTTGTGCTTCTCAGTACTCGTGGATAAAAAGATGTGAGTGTAAAGATGCTGGTACTGCCTCACACGTTAGATTTGTACTGTAGGAGGGTACTGACAGTCGATTCCCAACGCTAACTGCAGCCATGGGCTTCTCTTCTCAGCCTACCTTGTGTAGTGAACCCCAATTAATTTTAAGTGTTGCTTATGCCCACTGAAGGGGCAGATGAGGGCCTCTGATGCCGCAGTCTGGCAGGAAAAGCAGAACACGATGTCACCTCCAGCTCAGTATTTAAGTATGACTTTCCGAGGGTCAGTAAAATATGGGAAACACTGGGATAGAAAGCCCCAAGCGCTGGGAATCAGTTTTGATTCAGGCTCAGACCACTTGGAATGCAATCTAGTGGCTCAGTGCTGAAAGAGGAGGAGGCGGCTTGCTTCCCCACCCCCTCTTCCTCGAGTCTTTTTGACGGGTTTATTTTCTGCCACTGTGGTATGTCGAGAGGGCTCATGCAGAGTTCTGACAAACCCACGTGCCATGGAAAAGGAAGGAGGGTTAGGAGCACCTTCCTCATACCCTTTTGTGGTGGTGAGGTGTTAATTCAGCTCACGCATCTTGCTGCAGTGCTGGATATCTGGAAGGCTTCCTTTGCTTCTGTGCCCCAGCAGCGGTGCTGCGCTGGAGTCGAATCGGCGGCTGTAAAGTTCTTCTGCAAAGTGAAGTGACTCGGGGACTGACTGTGCTAAATAAGCCAAGCCGAGCTCCTCAGCAGCTTCCTGCCACAAAAGTTGTGGTGAGAGAATATTTGCTCCAAGGTTTTTAGGTGAAACATGGTGAATGTATTTTGGTGATTTTTGTTTGTGGTTGTGTACTTTCACCGTGGGCCTGCAAAGTTGATGTGTCGGAAAAGCCCTAGCGCTCTCAGAAAGAGTATGGGAGAGGAACTGTGGGACACGATGAAGTTCTTAGAACCGAGCTAAACCTTCCCCACCTTCAGAAATCTTACCCTGATTCTGATGTAGGGTCACTTCTTCAAAGGACACAGCGGTTTCTTTGTGGGCAACTGCCTGTTTGTGTTGAAGGCTGGTTACTTCCATGGGTTTTGCCCCCAGAGACAGCTTTGTGTAGCCTTGGAGTGCAGTAGAAAGTTAGGTCTTTGTATCAGAATCATTCTTTCAAATAGTTCTTTGTAGTCATACAAATAGTTCTTCAAATAGTCATACAAACTTTGTAACATTTGGCTTACTGTCGGTTTCATGTATTAATGAGCTCCTGTGTGCTTTTATTGTTGCTAGGCCCTTCCAAGTGGTGAAGATGATGAAGATGACAGCGATAGTGACAGTGATGATGATGACGTGAAAGTTACTATTGGCAACATTAAAACGGGAGCACCGTCGTACATGTATGTATTAGGGATTGTGGTGTCGATTTCTGATCTGAGGTACCTGTAGCGCGTGCGTTGGGGTTGAAAGTGGGGGTGAGAGCTGATCTGTCTTCTGGGAGACATGGGAGGAACGGCTAGAACACCGGAACGGGAATAGAAGCTGAAGGGCAGCTCTGTCCTTGCAGTTGCTTATTGAAGAATCCATCTGTTAAATAGGAATGCTAATTCATGGGTCTGCTGTTGGAAAGTTAACCAAAGAATTCCTGTGCTTCATTGGGCAAAATCAAAGGTGGGAAGTTACATCGAACTCCTCGTCTGTGAAAACTTCAAGAACCAAAGTCTGTATTGATCAGAATTTGCATAAGCTGTGAATTTACTGGTTTTCAGCTGGCTAATTTTTTAATGATTCAGAAATGGTGAGGCTGGATTTGCGAACCAGGAGATTACGTCACTGACTTAAAATTCTACCTAATTTGCATTGAATAGAATTAATAAGACAGCATTTTTGCTTGCTCCTGGCAGCCTTCCTCTTAAGGAAATGACTTACATGTGCTTTGTAGCACATTCTAATTTTTCCACTTTATGGATAGTTTCCTTCTCTTGCTGTAGAGGTGGTTTCAGTCTGATGGGTTACTCTGAATAGCGGTGCTCCATCCATTAGCAGCTCGCTGGATTTTGCAGACATCCTTTGCGAAATCTGCTGCTTCTACCTTTCTCTCCTCATTCTGTGCTCTGTATGCAGCTGTGATTTCCATGTTGTTCAGTTCCATTTAAATACTAAGTATGCTCCTGAGCAGAATGAAGTAACTTTGCTTCGAATCTTTGAAATAACCTTGCCCTTCATGTTCAAAACAATCCTCTTGCATTGCGTTGTTGGTCAGTAAGTTCGTTTGCGTTTCTGTAGAGTTAGAGGAACTTCTGTGGCAAATGAATCTCACTTTTAGGGTGTTGAGACTTAGCACTAAAAATCGTACAGAGGCGTGAATCACCCAAGTGAACCAAGCATCTTCTGAAGGATGTCAGGGCTTGAATATATTTTTGCATGAAAATGTCAGCCAAGTAATTTGTTCCAATACCAATGTAGTGATTCTTTTCCATACAGGGGAACTCCGATGAATCTAAACTTAAAAACAGGTAGAGGCTATGGAGCATCTGCTTCAGGTATTGCTGTTATTTTTATCCTTCACCTTTTGCAGTGTTTCACTTACCTGGCGCTGACAGCTGGAGCAGCTGCAAATCTTGGTCTCTGCTTGGAAGGGTATAAAATCAGTGCATCGTATTTAAACTGGGAATAGTAAGTGCATTTCCTAAACATCAGCGCTCCTAGAACAGTCTGAGGGTACAGCATGCAACGGAATGATTTAATTACCCATCGCTGAACAAGCTGATCATAATTCTATTTAAACTAGAAAAAAATACATTGATTATTACTTTTATGGTACAAGCCCATAATATTTCTAAATGATATTGCTGCATTGGGGCCAAACATTCTGAATTCCCCAGAGAAGAACTTCAACTCTGTGGTCAGTGTACTGAGGGACTTGCAGGGTAAGGTACTAAAAGAAGCAGTAGCAGCTCTGTGTATTTCTGCACATGAAATTTTCCTCACCATTCAGTTTAGTTTCTACTGTATATTGAGGCTTGGATCCCGATCTTCCTTGTATGTGAGTGTGTCCTTTCATGGGCTTCATATAATTCCTGCCATTAATTTCTTTATGCAAATAACTTCTGATGGAGAAAATAAGAACAAATTGAAGATTCTGTACCTGGCAGATTTTTGCTCACTCCAGTTAGTACACGGTCCACTTAAAACTGATCCTGAAAAAGTCTCTTGTTATGAGAAAATGTGTGTATCTTGGGAGGGAAAAATAAATATTTTGCCTGGGGAGAAGTACACATTTTTTTCATTTGGGGTAAATTTCATGCGTGCTCTCTAATAATTCACTCCATTTGCCTGTAGTACCAGTCTGGGTTGAATTTGCTTCTCCACTGTTCAACTGCAAGTGCTGTATACCCAGGCTATTTATTTATAGAGTGACCAAAGTAATTTTTATTAAAAAAGTTGATTGTAGTTACCTATGTGCTATAAAGCCAGCAACGAATTCACAGTAGTGCTTTATTTTTGACTGGATTTAATTTGCTCAGCAAATTAGCAGATTAAAGGCATTGCATTAAAAGTAGTAACGGTTTCTCTCTCTCCAAAGCCAAGTTGCAGCCCAAAGGTATTGACTTAGATGCCGCAGGGAATATAAATGGATTGCCTGTTATAGAAGTGGATTTAGATTCATTTGAAGACAAACCGTGGAGGAAACCAGGTGGGGCCTCACAGTTTCTTGTGGTAAATATTTTCTGGAGTTTCAGTTCTCTCTTTAATTTCACCTGTAATTTCTGTCCATTTATTGCTGCCAGGGAACAGGGAAGTCAGGACAATGCCTATTGCTCAGCCTCTGATGCCTGTCTGGGCAGTCAGTGATGTTTACCGATTGATCAAGCCATGCTTCTACCTAAAATTGGGTTGCATTTACTCTATTAATTTAACTTCCCTAAAGGGAATGGCTGTTTTTTTTAATATTCTATTTTATTAATTCCCTAGTCCCAGAAAATATTGCCCTGAAATCAATACAGTAATGTTTGTTGGCCTTAAAGTCAATTGAGCAGGATGAAGATTTGGCTGCCGATGGTGTGTGGTCTCCATGTGCAGCAGCTTGCTTATTCTGTCTCACCGCGGCCAAGCCCAGTCGTCCCCACGCACCCTTCTCGTTTGGGTCCGGGGGATGTCCGTGCTTCTGCAGGGAAGTACCCCTCGCAGAGGGCAGCGATGGTGGGAATTCCCACCTGAGCACGTGCCATGGTAGAAAGCCAACTTTTTGTGTTGAATTCTCCTGCTGCAAACAATCGAATAAAAGGAATGAAAACGCTGTCTACTTCGACAAGAAAGGCTAGGATTTTTCTTTTAGAAAAGCTGCATTGCCTAATTCTTTGCTAGATTCTGCCCCTAGGTGCGTAACTGGGAGTGAGCAGTCCCCATTTATTCCGTCTGGACCATATTATCTAGACTGTGTCCAGACAAACAGTACTTTGCACAGCAGGTTTTAACGGTCTCTTTTGTTGTCCTGATTAGCATTAGGGAGATTTCTACTCCGAAGCCACTCTTGCATGTCAGCTGTAGGGTGCTACAAATAAACTTCTGGTTTTTTCATCTGAATTAGATACAAAAGTTAAATGAAGGAACCAAAGAGATCCAAATTTTTGCTGTGCTACTCCCATAAAACATGCTATGATGAAATGTGAACTGAAGCAAAAAACCCACTTGCCTCTTCTCAGACGTAGTTCTTCTCCCCGCTAGCCCCTGTACTTTGTTTATCTTTCAGCAATATTGCTATGCTAAGTAAGTCGTGCTTTTAAAGGTCATCTGTGTGGGGTGGTTTTGGTATCTCTTTGCTGGCCTGAGAAGAGCATCAGAGTACGTGACAGCGCTAATAACTACGTCAACGTGTCACACCAGCACTAAAGCACTCTGTGATGAAGAGTAGCTAGCACAGACATAATAGAAACCACAGCCTTTCTTGTGCAGGGGATTTCCCATCGATCACGAAGTGAGAAGGAAGGGTCTAGGAAGAGAAATCAGTTAGAAGGAAAACAACAAAGTGAAGTTCAGAGATAAAGCGTGGAAATCATCGTGGTCATGCTGACATGCCTGGACCAAAGCGAAGCCAGCTAGCCTTAAAACGGTGGTGAAGTAGGAATAGAGGGAAGATGTCTGCAGAGGCGTAGCCCGTGAGTTTACATTAGATGGCAAGTAGCTTGTTCCTCAGCAGCCTTTCAGGTTTATATCCTTTGCAGTTAATTGTTCAGCAAGTTGGTATCTCTTTAATTGAGGGAGAGGAAGAAGAAATATGGTGTGGAAGACCTGATCGAGGGTTGAAATATAGGCTGATAAAATAGCTATGTAAATGTCACCTTGCTGAGTCTGTTTTGGTGAAATTTGCATGTTTGGGTGGTGCAACAGGAAAAGTGGCCTACCTAGAAGATAAACCTAAACCTTTCTGTGTAGATCCCAGCTCAGCATGGTCAAAGTGTTTTGCTTAACCCTTACGTATCAGCTCCTTGGTTTCGAATGGGTCTGTCTCAGAGTACCTTTGCGAGGGGGATATTTGAGGGACGCCTCTGCGGGGCTAGGAGATGCTTTGTAACGCCTCCTGTTGTGAGGCGTGCCGTACAGAGTCGCTTGCAGCTATGTTTGTCCCTCTGCGCCTATGTTTTCTTGGCAAGCAGCTTGTGGCCACCTCTCTTACTCATAAGCACTCATGCTGAACTGGCACATTTCACAGACAACTGTCGAAGTAAGATAACAGTCTTGGAAGGCTACAGCTAGGATCACGAGTGAACTGTAATTACTTGTGTAGTCTGAGACGCATCAGTGACAAACTTCCACTTTAGCCCTGTTTCACAAAATGGGTGAGTCCCAGCAGCTCTTCTCAGAACAGCAAAGGCCAGGTCAGAGGCAGAATGTGTTGGTTTAGCTCTGCCAAGAAAATGCTTCTGTGGCACCATCCCATTTTTGTGGTGGTAGCTGGAACTGCCATTCCTGTGCTCTCCCCAGCACTCCACTCACTTGGACAATTGCAAGAAACCAGCCTGAAAAAAACCAGTTGGTAAATGAGTGGTTGCAAGCACCTATTTTAATAGCCTGCATATGTGCTGTATTCCGGGTCTCAGCTGGTCCCACTGCCGGTTCGGGCTGTAGCCCCCCTCCCACCAAAAGATGCAGCCACCTCCACTGTGGCACACAGCGCCTTTCTGACAGAATGAAATGGAGAGTAAGCTCTGCTCTCTAGATCTTTATTTTCTTAGCTCTTCATTTAAGCAGTTGAAGGACAATTTGGGAATGCAAGTCGTCTAGAATCCCTATGTTGATTTCTTCTCCCTTTGTCAGGTGCTGATCTTTCTGATTACTTTAATTACGGATTCAATGAAGAAACATGGAAAGCTTATTGTGAAAAGCAGCGCCGGCTTCAGCTTGGACTGGATCCTGCTCCTCCCATCAGCACTGAAAATAAGATCACGGTAGGTGAAACGTTACTCCTGCGTACAGCTACGATAAAACTGGGACTTACGTTTGTAATCACAGAGATGAGAGTCTAAGAGCAGAAGATACCTTAATACCTTGTGTTCCTTTCAGTGGTGAAAGTACAAAAATGTAGCTTTAAAGATTAAATCTCTGCTAAAAATCTTTTCTCTATGGAGCTGCCTGGCAGATTTGAACCACTACAGCAGCAAGACTTGAGTGGATTTCCAGTTGGTTTTGAGGCTACCCAGCTATAGGGGTGTCTGGTTGGAAGATCCTGTGGATGCGAGAGGTGTGGAGAGGGGAGCTGGGCATCCGTGGCTGTTTTGCTTGTTGCTGTTGACTGCTGCAGTTGTGTTTTGTGTTTGGAGACTGTGGTGGCCATCAGCCTTTGCAGAAGTCCATCAGGTGGCCAGCAGCTGTTAATCAGAACTTCAGCCAAAGAGTCAATACAGCAAGGGTTACGATTTCCAGTTTTGACTTACTACATGAAAAAGGATATGAGATTATTAAACTTTTGGACTTCTAACGAGAGACAGCAGGCAGCTGAGGCTGGAGTAGCCAATTCTGGTTTACAGGAACATTTGCCGCCTTGACTGAAGAACAGGTTGCTTGTGTGCAAGAGCCCTGTGGTTGTCCCTCAAGGGAGCCTTTTCCTTTGCTGAGGGTTAATGTCTGATGCTGCATTCAGTTGAAAGTAAGGGCATTCAACCCGTGTGTTGTGTTGCCTTCTGTAGGTTCAGCAAGGAAGAACAGGAAATGCGGAAAAAGAAGTGGAAAACAACATCATCAAAACAGAATTCAAAACAGACTTCTTGGCTCTGGTGGGAGGACGCATGAAGGCTGGGCCTCCTCCTAATAGGTAAGAGAGGATGCAGGCGTAAAGCCTGGGTGCAGTGTTCTTCACAGGGGTAGCTGGGATCCACCTAGGCCATATCTGAATCTCCTCAAGCCTGAAACAGAAGAAGCTTTTAAACCTTACTACTGTGGTCACTCATTAATTATTGTCTTCAGCAGTGCTCTCCTGAGGGTTGTGCAACCCCTGCCTACCCGTTTACCTCTCCCTGGTGATACCCTCAGTGTAGTGCGGCGCAGGGAGGGAAACCCATACCCCAGCTGAAGGGACACGTCTCTGGGAGTAGAAGAACCAAGGCAAATACCTCAGCTTTGAGGGCTTGCGTTGCTGGCTGCTTGTGCTTACTTGGCTTATTCTTACTGCCATGATGTTAATCTTTGTCTCCTGAAGGGGAGGTGGATTACACGTTTGGCAGCTGATAAGAGGAACAATTGGTTTCTGAACCTGTATGCTACGCTGCTTGATGCATGCTAATTAGTTATTTTCTCCAATGAGAGAGAGGATCCAGAAGGCTGGAACAAAGCAAAACAATTGAGTCATTTTTGACTGGCACCCTCTGCTGGGAAAACCACTTGGACTTTATGAGGTGGCTGGGTTTTTATCAAAAGCTTCAGCAACACAAAGCTATGAAGAAGAGCCAGAGCTTTGGGATCTGGGTGTTCCTGGTGCTTTATTCATGTTACATCTTTTGCAGACCTGTCTTGCAGAAATCAGTCTTGCATTCCAACTTTCCGCTTTGTCTGAGAGAGAACCAACTGTATGCTTCAAGTATAAGCTTTAAAGCTCTGCTTAGTCTGTTTGCATTTAAGCACTTCGGTGTTTCTGTCCCCTTTCCCAAGTGCCATCAAATCGGTCAGGTTGGTTTCCAGCTGTTAGGCGGATCTCCTGAGATTTTCAAAAATCTACACCATTGCAAAATAAGCTGATGCTGTTGTAACTCTACAGCGTTGGTGTCCATTTTAACTTAAAGATGAGATTCTGGTCCTGCAGCAGAGCTTTTGGTCAGGACCAGAAGAAGGATCTTTATACACCACAGCAGCATCAAAACCATGGGCTTAGCAATGAGTTGAGGGTTTTGGTTTGGTTTGGTTTTTACTTTAAGTGAGCAGATCTCAGTGAGAAATTTTTTATCTTGCCAGTTAGCCAGTATTTTGTCTAAATTTCCTACTGAGAGAGAAAATTAACACTGTCTAACTTGGAAAAGTGCTGGCGTTTTTCTGTCCTAACTGCAGGAAAACATGTCTAAGGCCATACTTGCACAAATCAATTGTGGCATGAATATAGGATGAGGGATTCTTAAACTTCAGTTGCGTGTGCTTCTCTCTCTCGCAAACCTTTACTTGTGGTGACCTTACAACGAGCTCATATAAAAATGTTCTTCCCCCAGGTGTGCCCTGGGCGTGGAGATAAAAGAGCATGGAAAATTGTAGGTTCTGTGACCCATTTCCAGGCACGCGCAGACAGCACTGTTTCTTGGCTACTTGAATATGTTTTTGTTCAAGGGTCTAGCCTTGATTTCACTGAAGGCAGTGGCAAAACTTTGGACTTTAATAGAAACAGAGCAGACCCCAGGGAGGCGGGCTAGAAGGTGTCTGAGAATCTGTTTTGCAAATAACTTCAGTGGTAGCAGCAACACTTGGAAGACTGGAATCTTCTGGGCTGATAGTGTTAAAGGCTTCTCCTGATAAATATGTTCCCCTTCCTCTGACCCTGATCTGGGAATGATTATTCAAATCTGGAGAGCAAGTGAAGGATTTCAGCTCTGAACCAGGGTGTGCAGTCCGTGTTATTACACCCGTACATGGTGATTCTTTGAATTTGTGTTTGTAGGTGTTCAGAGACCTCACTCACCCCTGCAAGCAGAGCTCAAACTGCTCAAAAGTGAAACAGGACTTCTCATTCACCTCTTGTCCAATTTGAGTGCTGCCTCTAGGGATTTTTCCCTGGTGGAAAAGAATGTACGAGCGAAGTTTTGTCTAATAGTGAGGAAAACTGCTCCTGCTAATGTCTTTGAGCCTAAAAAGATGCATCTGCTTTGTACCAGGAAGCTGGGTGGGACAATTGATGTGATCGGTGGCCAGGCAGGCACAATTAGGCGAGTAGAAGGAAGACGTCGTGATAAGCATGCCTCTGAGGAAAACCCCATTCAGGTAAATGTTTTGCACCGTCGTGACGTATTCCTGATTTCATTGCCCTTCTCGCAAACCCTGAGCAAATGTCTGTGCATTCCTGACCTCCCGTGTCACTGTTGCTGCCTGCAAAGCAGTAGGTGGTATATCAGCCCTGTCGAGGCGTATGCATGTATCATTCTGCAGGTTGAATTAACTTCTGCATTAAAAGCTTTATCTTGCTAGGAGCTAGGGGTTGCCCTTCAGACTAGCCTTCCATCTGCATGGCAAGGCCCAAGTTCCCTTTCTCATCAGCTCTCCAAGAGTATTCCTCGGGGTGCGTAGCCGGGAAGCTTTTACGTGGATTATTCCCTTCCCTTCCACTGTTGGGTTGGAACCTCTGGTTCCGCAGCGGAGGACTTCTCCTGGGGCTTGCGTTTCTTCTCACTTTGAAGTAACGTTTAGTCTGAGCATTGTTAGATGCAGCCCACGCTTCAGACTCAGGGTGGGCCTGTGCTACTAGATCTCATCCCTTATAAGAAATAAAAGCCTGGGGTTTCAGATGGGACTCAGTTCTGATCTCGCATGTCCAATGTGACCGTAATGTTCTGGTTGGATTCTGGGTAGGAAGGTGTAGGATTTGAGGACTGTCTGCTGAGAACTTTTCTCTTAACCACCTTACTCCTACCAATCACTCCTAACTCACAACTTCCCCCCCC